GTGAATAGTGGCCCAAAACCAAAATACCAGAAAGTTACACCTATTCATGGCCCAAAACCATAACAGCAGCGTAACACGGGCAAAAAACAAAACGCCTAAAACATCGTTCCCAAACGTGCTTCTGATTTTTTTCCAAAACACTCCTACAGCAAAAACACTATTACTATTTTAGCCTAAAACAAAACGCATGCCAAACGGGCCGTTAGGAAATTAAAACAATGAAAACTTTCCTAAAACAGACACTAAACTATTAGGGCATCCGGTATAGCCATTGCTATACTGGTTGGTTATAGCCATTGTTGACGTGACTAGCTGTAATATTTAGTTATGGCATTTGCATGATATAGTGATAGAAGTTTTGGCAACATATTTAAAGGACCCACTACTTTAGAAGAGAGAGAGAGAGAGAGCAAGAAAAGAGAGAAGGAGGGAAAATGGAAATGCGACGTATTTTCAATAGTCAAACCGTTGTTACCTGTGGCTAGCGCCATTGCTATCATGCACGTGGGGCTCGCGTTTTTCTAACTCTATACCTTGCATTTTGCTGGTCCAAATGTCCTTGCCAGCCTGTAAAAAGTCTCGTACACCGGATGGTACTAGAAAACACTGTTCACGCACTGTTCACATGTAGTATATCAGTTACGTCCTATCGAAAAGCCTTGTATGAAGCCTAGTTGTTCTGCCCACCTCATTAGTCTATTAAAGGCCTCCATAACAACGATGAATAAAAAAGGGGAGAGAGGGTCCCCTTGGCGTAACCCTCTAGAGCTAGCAAAGAATCCAGCTGGTGAACCATTCACTAAGATAGAAGAGCGCGCTGTCGAAATGCCATGATGAATCCATTTCCTCGATTTGTGCCCGAACCCCATCCTCTGCATCAAATACAACAAAAAAATTCCAGCAAACGTTGTCATAAGTTTTTTCAATATCCAACTTGCAAACAATCCCTGGTTCACCACTTCTAGTCCTAGCCTCAATGCATTCGCTGACGATTAAAACCGAGTCCAGAATCTTGCGCCCGCCAACGACCGCATTTTGTGATTCCGAGACCACTCCATCCAAAACTCTCCTCAAACGAATGGCCAAGACTTTCACGATAATCTTGTACACTGCCCCAACTAAACTGATGGGCCTTAAGTCCTTGGCCTCTATCGCTCAACCCTTTTTAGGAATAAGGGTAATGAAGGATGTGTTCAAGCTCCTCTCAAAATAACCATCCACAAAAAAATAAGGCACCAATATTTCCCAACACCTGTGTCTTCACCACCTCCCAATTCTGTTGGAAGAAAGCAAGAGTAAAACCATCCGGACCCGGAGGTTTGTCCCCATCACAATTCCTCAAAGCTTCCAGAACCTCCGCCTCCTCGAACGGTCTCTCAAGCCAATCTTTAATCTTTATCCCCACCTGAGATAATTGTAAACTCAAGACCATCAAGCATAGCTCTCCAATCAGCTGTCTCCGTAAACAACTGATCATAGTAAGACACGAACCCATTCCAGTTGTCATCCTCTCTGGTTGCCATAACCTCATCAAATTGGATTCTACCCCATGTGATATTTCCTTCTACGAGCATTAGCAAGGCGATTAAAAAATTTCGTATTCCGGTCACCATCTTTAAGCCACAGAGCTCTAGACTTTTGCCTCCACAATATTTCCTTCACTACCACAATTTCACCACAATCAGCCTTACACTCCTCCCTCCTCTTCACCTCCATCTCACTGAGTTCCTCCACTCCCTCTTTCTTATCCAGATCTGAAATTTCAGCGAGAATTCTGTTCTTGCACCATTCAAGGTTGCCAAACACTTTCTTATTCCAAACCTTGATATCACCCTTCATATGCCTAATTTTGGTTGCAAGTTGGAAACTTGGGCTGCCCCTACCCTCATAACCAGTCCACCAGGCCCTAACGCTTTCTTTGAAGTCCACAACTCGAAGCCACATGTTTTCAAATCTAAATGGGGTTCTTCCTCTTCTCACCCCTCCACAGTCAAGAAGGATAGGAATATGATCAGAAACTGCACGCGCTAAGGCCACCTGGGACACATCTGGAAACTTTTCTTCCAAATCTCCAGAAATTAAGAATTTGTCCAGACGCGAGAGTGGGGAATTGCCGCCCACTGGACCATGTGAACAGGCTTCCCTCCATTTGGGAGATCAAGCAAGAGATGAGACTCAATGAAGTCCAAAAACTCCGTCATAGCATCAGACCAACCACCCCTTGACGATCTCTTACTAGGTTTCCGAATAGCATTAAAATCCCCCCAACACACCACGAAACAGACCATCTTCTTCTAACTGTTCCCAGCTCCTCCCACAACCCTCTTCTCTCCACATCCGCTCCTGGACCATACACTCCAGAAAATACCCACTGCGAACCATCTTCCTCCAAAGCAAACAAAAATAAAGAGTATCTCCCTTTCCACAAATCTACATTCGAGACCCACCTCTTATCCCAGAGAACATGCCCCCTACAGTCCCCTCCGCATTAATCACCTCCCAATCCACAAATCTACCTCCCCACAAACATTTCATAACCCTATCTGTTGAGTTATCCAGCTTAGATTCCTGCAAACACACCACATGCATCCCCCATTTGCAAATCAGGGCCTTCACCACCTTCCTTTTGTTCGGGTCATTAAGGCCCCGAACATCCCATGATACTAATTTGAACTTCATGAGCACACAAAATCTCTGCCACCCTCCTTCCTTCCCCCATTTCTCTTCTCACTCCCTCCTCCACTCCTCCCTTCATAGTTCACATAGGAAATGAGATTTTTCAGCTCCCCCCCCCCCTTCCAGCACTGACTTTTTTTTTTGTTTCACCAGCACCTACACTGCTTGAAACATACCCTCAACTTGCTAATCCTCCCCATCACATGACAACCCCAAAAGCTTACTGGCCCCCTCAATACTGTCCATAAACCACTCTTCATTTGAACATTCCAAATTAGAGGCCCTTTGAACCTCCCTGATGACTGCCAAGGGAGTATCAATTCTGATAGTACCAACTCTACCAGCATCGCAGTTCTCCCAAACAGGAGGTGGAAGATCCAGAATAGATCAGCAATCAGCAACGGCCCAGGAATCATTTCTCGAAGGCACAGATTCTTCATCATACTCCCTAACATCAGGCGAACAAAATTCTCTGTCCTCCCCTTTTATCACCATCAAGCCCCGCACTTGGCACTGCAGCACCTGCCTTAGCCTCAGGCGCCCCCAGCACAATGAATTCTCAAATCAGATCGCAAGACATCAGCAGTCTCCCCAATAATCAGCAGCTGGATTTCACGTCCCACACACAGAGTAACACTTCCATCTTCCTTTCCACATGGCAGGAGCTTCAATGACCCACAATTGTCCGCATCAAAACTGGATTTGTAACAAGAAATAGCCCCTGAAAATTCAGAGTCGTCGGACAGCTCCCCTCTGACCTCCTCAATACTGCCTTCAAAATCCCCTTCCTCCACCAGGATGAGTTTCTGAAAATCCAGCAACAGACCACCATCCTCCACCCCATCAACACTCCTCAACACCCCACAAGAAGGAGTAGAAGAAGGAAAAGAGGGAGAAGCGAGCATGTGGTTTGGGCCAGAGCACATACCTGGAAATTGGGACGTACTACTAGATTCCACCCATGGATTGATTCATTCTATGAGATTGAAAAATGGGAAAAATAGCTGAAGAATCTCCCTGTTTGCCTTCTTTGTCTTGTCTCGGTTGAATCTCTTCTCGGAGAACAGAAGAGTTGGAGCTCCTTATAGGATCCCCACAAATAAGCTTAGCAAAATCAAAGTTACTCCCATACTGATTAAGCCCAAAAGAAATTCCTCCGCATGGCCTTCCACAACATTAAGGTCAAGACCATCTTGAAGAGGCCCAAAAGAATTATGCAAAATAGGTCCATCAGACTGACATCCCAAAGCCCCAGATCGCGGCCCAAAAAAATGAGACTGAACTTTGGAATTCTCCTTGGGCCTACGCGAGTGAACCCATCGCGTTGCCTTGGCCCAACTCTCACCTGGCCCAATCGAGAAGCATGTCTTTTAATTTATTTCTGTTCATGGTTCGAGAGTGTGCTGGCCCGTTTGAATGAGGCGTAGCCAAGCTGGGCTTATCACCCTTAGGCACTGCATTGAAATGAGACAAACATCCACCAGCAATGTTGCATTACCCCAGTTCCGACGCCCTTCCCTGAGCACTTGCCTAGCCTCTGACTGTGAAGGGAGGCGAAAGGGAAGAAGAGAGTCTGGCAATGGCGAAACTCCTACCCCACATGAGATTTTCCTGGCTCTGCCAGCCAGCCCATTCAGCAATCTGCTCTTGATTTCCAACTTCCTTGTCAAATTTGCCAACCAAACATGCCCCGAGAGCCTCCCTACGTCTTCCAATTGAAGCTTCATCCTAATAAATTGAGGGTCCTTTAAAAGGTCTTGCTGGCTTGACAAAACCTCCCTGATTCAGACGAGGAAGCCTTGTGATCTCAAGGAAGGACTTGGACACCATAATCAGAAAACCGTGATTTGGAAATGTGAAGTTGGGAACAACTAGCAGGAGATTTTGAAACAATAATTGTGGAACCAAAGTCAAATTATTCTTCAACTATTCTTTAATATTTGATGTTTCTCTCATGAAACCACAGTGTGGATGTTTTTCCACATTCGATCAGCAAATTAGCCTTGACAAATGGTAATTTCTAGAAAGATATTGGGGAAGCTTTTCAAATTGTGACACAAGAATCATTTCTTCAATGATTCTTATTGTTATTTTATTCATTGTTATTAAATACTATTACTAATACAGTAATACTTTTGTTGTATTGAGTTATGATATATTTCAATGTTGTTAGACTTCTTTTTCATTACTACTTGAATGTGAAAGTAGCTATTTCAAGATTGAGGGATCTTTCCATTTTTTTTTTCCCTTTTTCTGGAAGGTGATCCTTCCAGTTGTTTGTATAAAAAATGTTTATACTTTTTGTTTTTCAAGCATGTGAACAGATATCATGTCATCCAAGAGGTTTAGGTCATGCTCGAAACTTCTGTCACCTCATTTCACCAGGTAATTTTTTAATATTTTTTTGGCCAGGGCCAGCTTTATTACTGTACCCTCATGGCAGAAGCTGATGCATGTGATTTTCTCCTTTATCTTTGCAACTAATTAATTCATTTGTTCCTCTTTTTCTTTTGGTGATAGGCCACCCATTGAATTCAAGGCCAATAAGGTTGGTGATACGTGCTTACCATTTTATTTTATCAATTAGATGAAGTTCATAGTGATATATATATATATATTTTATTTAAAAAAAAAATCTAGGGATGCAAGCGGCCCCCCCCCCCCCCCCCCCCCCCCCCCCCCAAGAGGATGTGTTGGCAAAAACCTTAACTTGTTTGTCATTGTAATTAATCCTACACTGACTTGACCTGTACCCAACTTGGTTTCTAGTAAATCACTCATCCCAGGCATTTCCCAATTTAGTTTGTAATATATGATGCCCAAAAAAACGTGACATTAAACCATTAAATTTATAAGTGATTAGTTTGTAATATATGATGCGGAAAAAAACATGACATTAAACCATGAAATTTAACCAAATTTGCGTTGTATCAAACTAACGGAAGTTCTTTGAAACCAAGGCTTTCCCCTATCTGGTTGGGATAAGAATTATCAAACACATAACTATACCAAATAAGTTATATGGTGTCTGTAGTTGTCTGGAGTTGGGGTTGAGAAACCTTATTGCTGATTTCAAAGTCCATATCGGGCTATTCAAATAGGAAATAGAAAGAGAAGGAAATACTGAAGAAGTCCTCCAAAAATGGATCTGTTCTTGTTTCTTGGTCTTCTGCTTCTTCATATTTGTTCATATAAATTTCCTGTGTGCAGGGAAGCTATTGCCAGTCTTCAGTCGAGGGCTACTGTGCACATACAAAGCAGGCTGTTTTCTTCAGACAATGGTGTGATAATCAAATGCCTTTCGTGGTGATTTTTTCCGTTATTGATAAGCATGTCTCTGTACGCATGCTTTGCATATATACGCATGTATGTATGTACTTATGTCAGTAAATTTTTATTGTGTATTTGTGATATTGTTGAAAGATATAGGCTTTGTTTTGGCCAGATTTAATCAATTTGCATTCAAAATCTAAATAACTCTGTCAGAAGGAGAAAACGATGTAAGAAAACTAATACTTGCAAACCAGGCCTTATTTCAAAGAAATCTCTTCCGCACCCCTCGCCCCCCCCCCCCCCCCCCCCCCGCGGCGGCCCGCGCGCGGTTAAACATAGTTGTTAAAGGTTGTGGTAAGGCACCAAAGGTCTTCTGGAGCCCAAGCGCAAGGCGCAACATAAGGTGTGATCCTGATCGAAGTAAGGCGCGTGTGATCAGATGCATATTAGTTATAAGTGTATAGAGAATAATTAAACTATGCAATACTTTTTTTTTTTTTTGATAAGTAAAATGTATTAGAAAGCGTTCAAAAGGGGAACGCGTCCTGAGATATACACGAAAAGAATCTATGAACTCAAAGAACCCAAAAAGTCCACAATGTCCTCTAAAGAAGAATAATCCCTCCCCCAACCCCAACAAAAAAGGGTACAAATAATAGAAAATTTCAGCTCTCCAATAGAGGACTCCTTCCCATCAAAAGATCTTCTGTTCCGCTCTTTCCAAAGACTCCACCAAACGCAAAGAGGGGTCACTCTCTAGAAGTCTCTAGCCTGAGCCCCCACCCATTGGCCCCTCCAGATATCTAGCAATCCTCGAGAAGTCTGAGGCATGACCCAATGGATGCCAAACAAACCAAGCAAAAGACTCCAACATTCATAAGCAACAGGACAATGCAACAGAAGTTGATCCACGGACTCCCCAAAACACTTGCAAAGACAACACCGGTTAACAATGATATGTCTTCTCTTCCGTAAATTGTTCAAAGTCAGAATCTTACTCCAAGCTGCAGTCCTCACAAAAAAGGCCACCCTAAGGGGCGCCTTAAAGAGCCACACCGTCTTCCACGGGAAGGGCAACCCGTGAAACCCAGAGAGGCGCACAAAGAATGACCGGACCTGGAACGTCCCATTAGAAGAAGGCACCCAAAACAAGGAATCCACACCAGTGCCATCCAATTCCACCCTTGGAGAGATATTGCTTTTTCCAACCAGCCAATCTTCTCTCGACCGGCTCAATCACCGGGTCCCAACTTCCCACCCTCCTTGCCGAGTCCCCCAGCGGTAGACCCAAATAAGAAATAGGGAAGCGTCGCGTCCCACAACCTAAAACAGCAGCCAGAGAATCAACATCCTGCACCTCCCCCACAGGGACAAGCACACTTTTACCCACATTGACTTTCAGACCAGAGACAGCCTGAAAACAAACCAAAACACATCTCAAATACTGCAACTGGGACACCTCTGCCTCACACAAAACAATAGTATCATCCGCAAAAAGAAGGTGAGAAATCTCCATCTGCTGAACCGATTCAGGGCCGAGCTTGAAACCCCTAATAAACCCCAAATCCACAGCCCTTCTCATCAGCCTACTAAGGGCCTCCATAACAATAATAAACAAAAATGGGGAAAGAGGGTCCCCCTGCCTCAGACCTCGAGAACTACCAAAGAATCGCGTAGGAGACCCATTAACCAAAATCGAAAATCTGACAGTGGATAAACTATGCAACACATGTCAATAAATTAGCTAAATCAACATATATATATATTTTCTATTTGCCTATGAATTCAATAAAATCAATATACAATAAGAACAACTCAAGATTTACTACACAAATTTAAAAAAAAAAAAAAAATGGGATTTTTGATATATAAACTAAGAGGATTAGGTAAATTAATGTTCATAAATCATTTCATATGCATTAACCAAATTAAATGTGATTATAAATCGGAAACAATTAAAAATGATAATTTTGCAAAATTTTAAACACATATTAATATATTATCGTAAATATTTGTAATCAAGCACTAAATGCAAGGAATGTAAGTAGTTAACCATAAAAATATGGATTTGTCAAATATTTCATAATGTTAAAAAATATGATCCATTACATTAGATCATGATATGATATAGAACATTCTAATTTAGTAGTCATTTGATAAAAAAGCAAAATGATATGAATCGATCAGTAAATATTAAAAGGTGTACTTTTATTTTTTTAGTCTGGAACCTACTAAAAGGTGTGAGTCTGAGCGATTTATGTGAGCCTGACTGAAGGGGTCTGGCATGTACTAGATTGAGGCGCTATAGCTGAGTCTTGATGAGCCTGGGGATTTTTTTGGAGCCTATGCGTGCCTTTAACAACTATGCTGTTGACGTTGTGGTAACTATTTATTAATGTTTCCTTTGTGAGTCTGATTCCAATCAATTGGGTTTATTTTTAGGGTTTAGTCAATTTTGAAATGACCTGATTATATGCTGGCGAAATTTAGGTGTTGGATATGTTTTTCATTTGTTCCATTTTTGAGTCTCCAATGCTCCTGTTTGATTTAAATTTGATGTCCTTTTTTTATTGGGTAAATAATTTGAAGTCCTTCTTGCTCTCTCTTTTTCCTTATTTGTTTGTACTTGTTGTAAAAAGAACTTTGTTTGGCATAGTTTATTTATTTATATTTTTTTATTGTGTGTTCGCTTGGACTAGCATCAGTTTGGCTGTCTCCTTGGAGTGTGACAAGTACGTTACCTTCCACAGTGCTTACTAAAGTTTGTTTAGATTGTATTTGTGTACCAAAGAGCACATGTTCATGGTATGACAGGTCAGCTAAATGTAAGTGTGGGGGTGATTATTGAGAGTGCTTTAGAAGATGGTGCTTGTCTGCTTGAAATCTAAAGATGTGCAACATGCGGTTAAAGTAGCATATAAAATTTAAACACGTGGCACTTGTTTATACTTGCACCATCATCTTCATGTTTAATTCTTCGTTATCTTTAAGGTTGCAAATTTTTTCCTTGTTTGAAATAAACTTTGAATATGTAATGAAGGTGATTTGATTGATGCTATTGTCCCATTTATGGGTGAATCTATAAGTGATGGCACTCTGGCGAAATTCTTGAAGAGTATGTTACTCAAAATTTCTTGCGCAATTTCCTCTATTCATATATTCATTTGTTGTGAATTAAGTGCTTAATTGTGTTTGCATCTGATATTTTGGGAGCAGATCCTGGTGACAGAGTAGAAGTTGATGAGCCAATTGCTCAAATTGAAACGGATAAGGTACTTTCTAAAGTAACATTTAGATATTTTAATTCAAGCTTCTAAATTTGGCTGTAGAACTGATTACTATTAATACTTGGATTGTTTATCTTTCATCAGGTGACTATTGATGTTGCTAGTCCTGAAGCTGGTGTAATCCAAAAGGTAAAATATCCACAAGTTTGAATTACTACTATGACCTTTAGAGAAGTTTCACTTTTTCTTTGCCTTCTTTTGAACAATGAGATCCTGAATCTGTGAACCATTGGTAGTTTGTAGCCAAGGAAGGGGATACTGTGGAACCAGGTACTAAGATTGCTGTCATTTCAAAGTCTAGTGAAGGTATAGGTCATGTTGCTCCTTCTGAGAAGACATCAGACCAAGCTGCTTCTCAACCATCTCCTCCTGCTGAAAAGAAAAAAGAGGAGATGCAAAAGCCTAAAGTTGAAGCTAGTCCTGCCATACAGAAGCCTAAGACAACTTCTCCTCCACCTCCTAAACGCTCAGCTACAGAACCCCAGCTTCCCCCTAAAGAAAGGGAAAGACGGGTGAGTCTCATAGTTCCATATTCATATACCAAATATTTTACTTTAGAAATGATTAATGTCACTCTATCTTTTTGTAGAATATTCAAATGAAAATCTTGAGCATCTTTCTTCAATATGTTTACAATCATGACTGCAGGTTCCTATGACAAGGCTCAGAAAACGAGTTGCAACGCGTTTGAAAGATTCGCAAAACACATTTGCACTGTTGACAACGTTCAATGAAGTTGATATGTAAGTCTAAAGTCCACATTGTTTATCCGTTTGTAATTTACAACCAGTGGCCCATGCTGAATTTCCTCCTATTTGGAATTTGTTTTTGATATTTGGGGTTCAATTCAATTAAGATTGATTGGGATTGATGCTGTTTGACCTAGAGTTGACAGGAATATATTTGCTTTCTAGTGTATGACTCAGAACACAAACGAAAGCATGTTTATAACCATATGTCTACTGACCTGGTTGAGGTCTAATTGATTTAGGTTGGCTCTAGGTTTTGGAGGTCCTAGCCAACCTGACTAAAATTTTAATTAGTCCCTTACGGTTTGTCAAAATTACTAGTACCTCTTCTCTTGTTTTAGAAATAACAATAACCTTCATTGTCAGAAATATTCTTGTAGCTTTTTTTCCCCTCCATTAATGGTCAACGGTAGTGAATAACGATTTTTTTGATATCGACAAAATGACATTTTAGAATACCAACTTTGCCCTTGTATTGGATGCAAAGACATTACTATCCTTGTTAAGTCGCATAAAATCACCTAAATATTCTCATTTTTAAGAAAATGAAAATATAAATAAATACATTTATTTGTACCAGATCCATTGTCCATGTCATTCTCTTTTTCTTTTTCGTCACTTCTTTTCTCCATTTCTAAAGCCCAATGTATGTGTACATATATGTAATGATTATTTATATATATACAATATTTGACCATAGATTTCTATGGTAGAAATCCAATAAATGGGGGAAAAAAAAAAAGAAAGGCTTATTATCTCTCTCCCTCTCTCTAAAAACTCTCCTCCTTGGTCTCTATAGTAGTTTGCCTTCCCCAGAAAATGGAGATCTAAAACCTCTTATTGTTAATTCCTTCTCTTGAATTTCATCTCATTTAGTGGATCTGTTCGATCCAAAACGATGAAGAAGAGAAAGGGGATCCACCTTGTGAAGATTTTGAAAATATTTTGTTCGATTTGAGTTAACTTATCTACTCTTGCTTGCTTGAGTCTTGTTGGGAGGAACTTTTTTAGCAAAATCATATCGTTCACGGTAAATCAGTGACATATTGATGATGGGTTCAAGCTTCTTTTTGCTAATTACTTTGGCATCAAGCACCACAAGTTTTATTTATTTTATTTTATTTATTTATTTTTTAAGATAGGTAAAAGTGTATTAGAAAGCGTTCAAAAGGGGAACGCATCCTGAGAGCTATACAAGGGCGAAGCCAAAGAGAGAGTACTATGGACCCAAAGAACCCAAAAAATCCACAATTTCATCTAAAGATGTACAATTTCTCCCCATCACCCAACTAAAAAGAGAACTAATAATAGAAAATTTCAGCAGCCCAACGGAGGATTCTGTTGTCGGGGGTTTATTTGTTATTACTTATATAATGTTGGGGCTTATGTGTAATTTTTTAAACTTGTTATTATAAATAGAATGTGGTGGAAGGATGAAAGTATTCTTTCATTCTTTCTCTCTTTCCCCATCTCCCTCTCTTTTTCTCTCATCTACTTTCTTTTTCTTCTTTATCACTTACTCTTGATTTGATTATATCTTAAAGTCAACATGGTATCAGAGCATGGTTTGTAAAGCTCTAGGTTTGTAGTTGAAACCCTAGGGCAAGTTTGTGTAAACCCCAGTGGATGTGAAGGGTTTTGAAGAGATTCCAAGATGAGATATGTTTGTAAGGAAGTAGTGTTAATCACATCCACACGTACTGTAGAGAGTTGGCTGGGGGTCGCAGGGGCAGCGTGCCCCTGCTCGGGGATTGGGGTGAGGCCTCAATTTTTTTTTTTTGGACTTGTTTTTATCTATTGCAGTCTCGATTGGTGTTTTTTTGTGTTCACGGGGTTCTGCAAGCGGCTTTTTCTTCGTCGTTCGTGATTCTGGTATGGTCTACTTTGTTGCTTTATAGGGCTTGTGTGGTGACTGTGTGGTCGTTTTTTTATGCATCTCAGAAGACGGTAATCTTTTTAGTTGAATTTTGTGTGTTAGAGAGGTGGTTATCTACTTATTTTGTTGCTGTTTTTGTTTCTGAGGATTGTATACCCAGAAACTGTCTGATAAAATGTCTGGCTCAGAGGTGACTTCAAAAGAAGCTGGGTCTTCTCCTAGTTTGACTCCAGTATTGGGAGGTAGTAGTAATCACCGTCCAGGTCTTTGTATTACGACTGTTAGGCTGGATGAGACGAACTATATGGAGTGGGCTCATTCTGCTCGTATGCATATCACTGGTCGTAGGATGATCGACCATATCGGAGGGACTGTCACGTATCCCTCCAAGAGTGATCCTGAATTTAGAGAGTGGAGTGCAAATTAGTGGTTGTTACAGTCAATGCAGCAAAGGGTTTTTGTTTGTGAAAACAGCTAAAGAGCTATGGACGGTTGTGGAAGAGACGTATTCCTCGGTTGGTAATTTTGCAAAACTTTATGAACTCCAACAACAGATTTCAAGATTTAAGCAGGAAGACCAAACTCTTGCTACATACTACCACACTCTACGTGGTAAATGGGAAGAGTTAGATCACTACTAAGACTACATACCTGTGTGTGCAACTGATGTTAAAACATTTCATGTTATGGTAGAAAGGAATCGAATCTATGAGTTCTTGGGTGGTCTGCATCTAAGATATGAGCATGCCAGGGTACAAGTGTTGGGCAGTTCTCCAGCCCATACTTCTGTTAGAAATGTGTTTTCGTATATTCAGGCTGAGGAGAGTAGACTGAAGGCTATGTTTGCACCTGTATACACTAAGCCTGAGCCGAAAGTACCATTGTTTGAGAGGTCTGCTCTTGCCACACAAGAATGGAACAAGCCTAATCCTCTAAAAGGAGGGAAACAGGATGACAAAAGCAAGTTGAGGTGTGATCATTGTGGGCGTACGCGCCACACTAGGGAAACATGCTGGAATCTACACGGTCGCCCTACTCTAGTTCCTGCTAATGCGAATGCTAGGCCAAGGCCTGGTCCATTTATGTGGTTTTCTACGGCACATACTGCAGAGCGTGAGACTGCTTCTACTGGTCATGCCTCCTAAGGGCCATCGAGTTCTTTGTCCGGGGCTGAACTTGATGCTCTCCGACACCTACTAGCACAACATTCTTCCGTTTCCGCCTCTAACTTCGTTCAAACAGGTACCTCTCATTCGACACATTAGGTTTCCACATTATCTGGTGGGCCACCCTAGATTATTGATTCAGGAGCCACTGATCACATGACTGGTATGGCATCTGATTTTTCTTCGTACAGTTTATGTTCTGGTAAGGATGAGGTTAGAGTGGCTGATGGCACCATCACCTCCATTGCGGGGAAGGGCACTGTTTCTGCCTCTCCTAATCTTACCTTATCCTCTGTTCTTCATGTCCCAAAGTTTACCAATAACCTCCTTTCTGTTAGTCTTGTTACAAAAGGCTTGAATTGTAGTGTAACCTTTTTTCCATCTCACCGTGTGTTTCAAGACTTGGACACGGGGAAGACGATTGGAAGTGGACGTGAGGACAATGGCTTGTATTTGCTGAACGCGAGGCCAACTTCATATTATGTTCCAAATCAATCTAATGTTAGGAATACTAATGGCAATAAAGATCTATTAATGGGATGGCATAATAGACTAGGTCATTTACCTCTTCCAGTTTTGAAGCATATGCTTCCCCAGTTTGCTTCTGTTGAATCTTTTGAGTTAAATTGTGAAACATGCATTCTTGCCAAATAATGTCGTGTTTCTTATCCTACTAGTATTAATAAAAATACTGCTCCTTTGCAACTTGTTCATTCTGATGTGTAGGGTCCTGAATCTACTACTTCGTTACTTGGTTTTCGTTACTTTGTTGTGTTTGTTGATGACTTTAGTCGATATACTTGGCTTTATCTTATGAAAACCAAAGATGAAGTTCATTCCATTTTTAAAACCTTTCATAGGATGGTATGTACTCAGTTTGGTTGTCCCCTCAAAATCCTTCAATCTGATAATGGAGGAGAGTTTATGTATGGTGGTCTTGCCTCCTTTTTGTTGATAACGGGATTGTCCGTCAAACCTCTTGTGTTGATACACCACCACAATAGAACGGTGTAGCTGAAAGAAAACACCGTCATATTACGGAGGTGACCCGTTCTCTTCTAATTGGGATGGGAGTGCCTAAAAGTTATTAGGTTGATGCAACCTTAATAGTTACATACCTTATCAATCGCATGCCTTACAAGGTTCTTGGCTATCAATCCCCCTTCTCTGTCTTACACCATGACACTTCCTTGTTTACAGCCCCTCCGAAAGTGTTTGGTTGTGTTTGATATGTTCACATTCATCATCGCAAGGACAAAATGGACCCTAAGGCAATCCGATGTGTCTTTCTTGGATACTCCGCCACTCAGAAAAGGTATCGGTGTTATAACCCTACCACTCGTCATCGCTTTGTCTCCATGGATGTTACATTCTTTGAGTCTGTTCCTTTTTTTCCACTATTTGGGATTCTCTACAAGGGGAGACTATTGTATAGGTAGAGAATCCGTTGTCCATTCAAAGGGAATGCCCCCTTCCTTTGCCTGTTCCCATTCAGGGGGAGCTTCTTACTGAGGGGCCTATGTCTAGCCCTTCTAACACTAATGATTTGCAGTAGGGAAATCATCCAATTGTCTACATTAGGAGGGCAAAACAATTTATGGACTCACCCCAGGACCAAGAAGTCTCCCTCGATCCAGGTAATTCCTTAGTTGACATTGATACTCCTGATTCTTTTCCCAATAGCATTCTTGTTGATCTTGATGTCCCTATTGCCTATAGTAAGGGTGTTCGTAGTTGTACAAAGTATCGCATATCTCATTTTTTATCCTATGATGCCTTATCTCTAATATCATGCTTTTACTTCGTGTATCTCCTCTGTATCCGTTCCTTCTAGAGTTTCAGATGCTCTCAGTCAAACTCCATGCAAGAAAGCTATGCTTGAAGAAATGAAGGCCCTTGAGAAGAATGGTACTTGGGATATTGTTCCATTACCTATGGGTAAGAAACCAGTA